TTTTTTACACTTTGTAGAATATCTGTGATTAAACCAGTAGTTAGATTATATTCTTAAGTAAGTATTTCTATATCAAAAACCAGAAAATACAATAATTATAAGGAGGTAGAACCTACCCTTTATGCCCTGGTGTACCATCTTCAACAACCCTAGTCCAACCAAATCTCTCACAACACTCATGCCAGAAAGGAATTAAAACTGGATCCAGAATATACTTAGTATACTCATAAGAATCCACTTTAACCTTTCCTGGTACTACCACTAGCTTTGACCTCAAATCCCCACAAAAGGCTCCCCATACCATAACTGTCTCCCTTCCTGACTCCCAGACCTCATCAATACAATCCTGATCATATTTCTCAAAAGGTTCTCTTATCACCCATCCTCTCTGCCCAAATCCAGCTGTAGAGAATGAGGTTTCATCAGTCCATATGATTCTGGACCAGTTTCTTAGTTTCCAAGCTCTTTTTCTCATACACTAACCAAATCTAATTGGTATATTTTTAGGGCACAATTCCCATCTAAAATATCTTTTGGTTATGTAAACACTTGAATCTTCATTAAAGTACTTACTTCTTATGTGGTTTTTTTTATATTTAAATTAAGACTCTTAGCTGCCTTCCTAATTGTCCTGGATGATGCCTTTAATCCTTTCTCTTCTTTAATATCCTCTCAAGAGAGTCTTCTATTTCTTTTATTTTCTTTAATAAAAGACTTTAGATCAAGTAGATCAGACTCCTGGAAGATTGGAGGTCTTCCTGTTGGCTGGTAGTTGGAAGGACTACCTGTTTCCCGATACCGTTGATAGATGTGAGCACAGGTACTATGGTGAACTTTAAGGCCTATTTTTTCCTCCAATTTGGCAGCTATCTTTCTGAAAGACCACTCCACTATTTCTCGGAGAGCAATAATACGGATCCGGTCATCACGCGTGGTTTCCCGCTTGAAGTGCTGTTGCTTCTTTGTCTATAATTGCCACCGCTCAAGACTTCGTGGACTAATCGCTAAATCATTTAATTTTATTATTATTTCAACTTTATATACATATTCATTTAATTAAACTACTTATGCTCACTTCTGCAGGTTCCCTTTAGCCTCATAGTGCTTTTCTGAAATGGTTTGGCAGGTGGTGGGGGATATAGTGAGTATTGCAGTGATGGGGGTTGGGAGTAGAGTTGGGATCTTGTGGGAAGCGGTTGCTACTGTGTCGCACTACTTCTTTCCCCCCTCTCGTACACATTCATCTGATACTGGTAGTACAGAGCTATCGTAAATCCTAGCAATGGTAATCCTAGCACGCTGGTAGAGCAACGGGTAACAGGTTAGAGTCCTTTGTCCAATCTGACAGAGACTGTAGCCAGAGATGGTGGAGGCTCAAAATTCTGTTAGCTACGCCTGGGGACAAGTGCCAAAGAGAGCCAAATATTATCCTAACGTAGCGTAAACTATAATACAATATCCCTTACTTTGTGTTCAAGGCCAATACCAAATAGTAATGCTAACCGGATGGAGATTGGAACGGTGGAGGATGACGAGCATGTGGGTCAGACAACTGCAGAGCCTACAACCGTGATGAGGGTCAGGAAGTATTGTGATAGTACTTTTGCTCTGGTGATACCGATTGGGGTTATAAAAGATTCAACTTGAAGTGATAAGTAAGTTTTTATTAGCATGTTTTAATTCTTGAAATAGAGATCTAATTAATATGATTTTAGATAGAGCAAATCCTGCCACGATTATTTAAAAAAAGGTTCTTGCTCCGGAGAGATGGAACAACTCGAAAGTCAGGCTGGGGAATTAGACTCGATGGAGAGGGCCTATTGGTCTGATGATGAATGTGGATTTGAAGGAGGACAAGTTAGAAGCGAGCTGCGATGCGAGGATAGCCCATTGGAGGACTTGCAAAATGGGAGTGAGAGTGGTATTGAAGAATTGAGTGACTTAGGGGAGGAAGATAGGGGAGATAATTTTGAAGGATCGGGGGATTGCTATACTTTACTACCAGTTCCGGAGTTCGAATTTTTTAAGCATGAACAACCCCGACACGATCGCATTTTACACCTACCCTGCTCCTTCAATTATGTACCTGATGATCCTTCAACTCGACCAACTCCCTTAGCCTTTTTTAAGATATTTTTTACAGACCAGGTTTTTGAAATGCTAGCAAAAAATACCAATCTGTATGCAAGGTAGAAACAGGGAGAGCATGATATGCGAGTAGGCAGAGCACAGTATTGGAAAAATACATCTGCAGCAGAACTGAATCTTTTTTGGAATACTGATCTATATGGACTTGTTTAAGTCAGCCTCTGTTCAGGACTATTGGCGCAAGGATGGCCGAGTTCCTATTCATACTATTACTCATTATATGGGAAAGACCCGATTTGAGGATTTGAAAAGATGGTTCCAAATCTCCGCTCCAAGTACTGCTGCTACAATAACCCACCGAACTTCTTTCCTGTCTCAGACTCAGGCTTGTTAACAATAGTTTTGTAATAAGTTAGATCCCCTTGCCCGGATGCTTCAAGATACCTGGTAAAGATACTGTACAGTAGCAATGAAATTTTCAGTGGATGAAATGATGATAAAGTTTATCGGAAAGTATATTTTCCTATCTTTCCCTATTCAATACTTTTACCTTTCTCAAACTAAAGAGTAAATTAGGTCTATGGATACCGTGGTAATGCCTCATAAGCCTATACCCAAGGGGTATAAGATACTCGCTCTGGCTGAACATGACTATACCTATGCCTTTTTTTTTACCTCTCGGGTCGGAGGATTTCTGGGAATGGATATACCTGTTCCTATCTATTTTACCCTCAATCCAACATCACGAATTGTCTTTGGTCTGTGTGCTCAACTAAACCCTTTTACTTGTCGATTTGTCCTATATTGTGACAACTATTTTTCCAATATTCCATTATTCGATGCCTTGAGGGAGTTTAAGATCGCTGCTTGTGGAACTGTAAGGCTAAATTCAGCCTTATATCCAAAGAAGCTTAAGATTCTGAAGAAATGGACTTCATCACCTTGGGGTATTCTTGCTGGTATACAAGTTGAAAACGTTCTTTCTGTGATTTGGCAGGATAAAACACTTGTTAGATTTCTCACTACAGTGTATGATATGCGGCCTGATCAGGTTATTACGCATTCCCACAAACGACCCTATATTGGGAAGAGTACAGAGGTGCTATTTTGGACTATGATAGAATGTGTATGGGGTCAGGAGAGAGTCAAAGCCCTACCATTACCTACTGCATCAGTGGATTACAACCTCTTTATGGGTGGGGTGGATATTTCCGATCAAAGACGAAGTTACTTCAACACATAACTGTGGTCTGTTCATACCTGGATGCCATTATTTTTTTGGCTTTTAGATACGACAATTATTAATGCTTTCCTTCTTGGAAAACAAGCATTAGGTGGAAGAAAAAATACTCTATATACAGACCAAAGGAGGTTTATGGAGGAGCTATGCTGGAGTCTTGTCAAAGATGGTACGCATCACTTATATGGAGTTCTTGATACTCATATATCTCTTCCAACATGCCATTACCGCCATAACCCAGAGGGTGCTATCCGTGCTGCCAATGGAGCCTACGCAAAAGGTAGTAAACCTATTGGCAATACAAGCATATCACGCTCAAAAGGATATGTTGGAAGAACTTCAGACTTGCGGAGTGCCGAAAAGACCCCCAATTCCACCATTTAATACGGGCCCACCGCCAGTATTGTATGTTTTGTCGCTTCCTCCGGCAGCATGCCAGAAGCAATCCTACAAGTACCTATAGTCATTTTTTTCTTCGTCATTCTGGAGGACCTCAGGGCCGTATATGGCAGACAGCTTTTACATGTTCCCATTGTACCTATGGGAGTGCCTTAGTGCCTCTTTGTAAAGAATTTTGTTATAAGTATTGGTATGAGTTATAAGTTAATTTGGGTCAACCTGATCAAGTACTCAGGTATTGGGATTGGTGCGTGAACAGAATCCTGCCAGTGGAGGGGCGCAAATGAAGTTTATAGGCTATATGCACATGTAGTGGTATATATGTTAAAAGAGAAGATATTTTGTGAATGCTTGAGAGGCAATAATTGGTAAATTTCAGTTTTTTAAGCTGCTAACCGGCTGAGCTCAAATATTTGGCTATTGAGCTTT